GTCTCTGATGAGCTTTCTTGATCAGGGTGGTGGTGTTGCCTCAGCTGAGGTTGTCATTCAGGTGCACACCCAAGTACTTGTAGCTGGAGACCACTTCCACAGCAGATCCTCCTATGTTCAGGGGGGAGGGGGTAGGTGCGTTTGTTCCATCTGAAGTCCATGACCATCTCCTTTGTCTTCTTCACATCGATGTGAAGGTTATTCTTCCTACATCAGCTCTCCAGGTGTTCCACCTCCTGCCTGTAGCTGGACTCATCATTGTTTGTGATGCATCCCACCATCACTGTATCATCTGCAGACTTGACTATATAACAGCCTGGATGGGTAGGTGCACAGTCATATATGAACAGAGTGAACAGGACAGGGCTAAGCACACAGCCCTGAGGGAAGCCAGTGCTGAGGGTTACGGTGGAGGAGAAGTTGTGAATCCTCACAGACTGCGGTCTTTTTGTTAAGAAGTCTAGGACCCAGTTGCAAATGGAGGAGCTTAGTCCTAGAGTGAGTAGTTTGTCCATCAGGGTTTGCGGATCATTGTGTTGAAGGCAGACATTAAGTCCAAAAAAGAGCATATGAAAGTAGGAGTCCTTCTGCTCCATGTGGATGAGATCAGTGTGGACCACAGAGGATATGGCATCTTCTGTAGATCGATTCTCGCGGTATGCATGTGATGTCTGATGTGGATCATGACCAGTTTTTCGAAGCATTTAGAGACTATCGGGGTGAGGGTTACTGGCCGATAGTCATTCAGTCCAGTCACTGTAGAGCTTTTTGGGAATGGGATAAAGGTTGAGGTCTTCAGGCAGGTGGGAACTGTTGCCAGTAGTGGTGTAACAATACATGTGGGTGTATTGAACCATTTTGGTATGGCGTGTTTGGTCCGGTCTACATGCGTAACGTTTCGGTTATTTTTTCACTCATTAAATTTTATTAATGAGAGATTATGCGCCGCCTTTTTTGTACTGAAAATTAACTGAACCGAGCCCTCCTTGAAACTGGACCGAACCAAAAAGTGATTTTAGCATACCGTTACATCCAAAGTTGCCGGGGTAAGTGAAGAGTTAAAAACTCCCAGTATACTGCCGCATACGTTCATACACGGAGGTACGCACGTACGCATGCGGAGGTACGAGCGTACCCTCCAGGGCATGTCCGTGCAAAGCTCAATTTTTACAACCGCGTACGCGGTGTGGCACAATAAACTGCCCAGCGACAGCCTGTTTTGTATGCAACACCAATGTATTAAATTTCCCTTCTTCATCCCTGATCTGGCCTTTGCTTTTTTTTGTTTTTTTGTCAAGAGGCAGTGATCTCTTCCTCCTCCATTGATGCCATGACTGAAATGGTGAGAAATTAAAGAATTTGTCATGAGCGAATTAAACTTAGGTCCAGCATGGCTGCGGGAGGGTCTGGAGATTTCCTGGTGGGCTGGTCTGATGTTTGGGCTGCAGAGCCAGCGGTCCCCGTTTGTATTTTTTTTTTTAGAACTTTTTATCAACAACATATAATCAATCAACCTTTATTTATACAGGTAAATCCCATTGAGCCTCGAGGACTCATTTACAAGAGAGACCTGATTTCAACAAAGAAAGATGACAACAATGGACAACAGCAACAACAATAAACAGTTATAAAAAAGCATACTACAGTTGTTGTTTTTTTTGTTTTTTTTTTAAACAAATAGGATGGCTAAAAGGAAAAAGGTAACAAAACAAAAAACAGCTAGATTCCAAGACAAATGTATAAAACTAAAAACAGGAACATGTCTGCATTGGTCCCTGCCAGGAGTCCAACAGATTCTTAAAGCCACTTAGAGAGGTCAAGGTCGAGAGCTTCAAATCTTTTTGTAAGATATTCCAGGAAACAGGAGCGGAATAGGAGAAGGCCCTTTTGCCTAGTTCAGTCCTCATTGAGAGAACACTGCAGGTAATAATGTCCTGAGAGCGCACGCTGCAGCTGCACTCACGCAGAGACATGTAGGAGGAGATGTATGAAGGCAGCAGACCAAGAAGTGATTTAAAGATGGAAATGTACCAGTGAGAGAGTCTGCGTGAAGTTAATGATGTCCAGTTAACCAGTGAATACAGGGTGCAGTGGTGGGTACGATAATCACAGCCAGTTATGAATCTTAGTGCACCATGATAGACAGCATCCAACATCTGCAGGGTTCTTGTA